TTTAACCACCTTAAGTGACAAGCGGTTTAACAATCCTTCTACACTCCCTTTCACTGAGGATGTTCAGCGTCTTCACTGCCATTTGGAAAAGATAGCAAATTCAGCATCTGGGACTTGGAGAAGTGAACCATCACCGCAGGCCCATAAGGAACTGTGCAGAACTACATTGGCCGAAATAATTTTGTTCAAGAGGTGGAGTGGTTTCTTAAATGTTACTGTCTGCTTTTCTAGAGAGGGACACCACTACCTTGCATAAAGATGTTGCAGTTGGTCTTACGGAGTTTAAACAACGACTTTGTGCCCATTTCAGCCGGGTTGAAATTAAAGGAAAAAGGGGACGAAAAGTTGCTGTGCTTTAATCACCAGACATTGTTGAAGCCATCACACAGCTCATTAGCAGAAGATCAGAGTGTGGAATGCCAGATAACAACCCCTTTCTTTTCGCTAGACCCAACTGTCTAACCCCTTACAGAGGGCAAGACTGTCTTAGGGTTAATGCAAATGACAGTGGTGCCCAAAACCCTGAACTTTTAAGATCAACACAGCTTCACAAGCATGTTGCAACTTTATCCCAAGTACTAAACTTAAAAAATCACGAACTGGACCAAGTTTCGGACTTTCTTGGACATGATATACGTGTTCATAGAGATTATTAAAGGGGTACCAAAGGCTACAACTCAGCTGGCAAAAATTTCTAAATTGCTTCTAGCAATGGAAACGGGGACCTTGGCAAACCTGCAAGGCAAAACATTGGAGGAAATTGAAATTGAAGGTATTTTTCAAAGTTCCATATACTTGTTTAGATTAGCGTCTCTATTTGTTACTGAACTAGTTTTAATTTTCTTTTTAGATAAGTTAGAACTGACTGACAGCGAACAAAGTGAGGTTGATTGGGACCCATCCCCACTTGCGAATGTTCCTCAGTGCTCTAAAAATCAAGAACCTAATGATTCTTCTGATGGTATGAATTTAATCATAGCTAAAGCAATATTGTTTTTAAAATTAGACACATGTATGTTCTGCTTATTTATCCAGCTACAGATGGTTCAGGAGAAGTGACATCACAAGGTACCTTCAATCATTTATTTTTTCTGTTTAAAAAAACAATTATTTTACTTTTTGTTAATTTCTTGAAGATTCCCTTTCCCCTTCAGGTTATCTTTACCCTCCTTGACAGCATTGTTGACATTTTTTATACTGTATTTTAGGTAGGACATCTGCTATGCTACCTGTTGAGCCGCCTTCAGGCACAAAAGAAGGTATGACTACCTTGACAGACACCCACCCTCATCCACGTTGATTATTAAATTTCATTAATTTAACATAATCATTTAAAAAATGTAGTAATGTTGAAAATGTTACCTTGTAACTATAATTTTGGCTAAAGAATTTAGTTTTTTTTTTGCAGTTAAGACTAAAATAGCACCACACTTATTTTATCTAATTTGACAGGATGCAGCAAAACTAGATCCCCTGATCCCCCTGGGATGCCTCCTGGTATGACTTTTAAATTAACCTTTATTGGACATAACTGATTTAAGTATTTGTATCTCTTTTTTTAATTATTGGCTTGAAGTAATACACATGTATTGTAGGAAACAGAAACCAGAGTACTGTACCACCAACTGAAAAACCTTCAGATGCCCAGGATGGTATGACGGTTTTCTTATTTATGGTTGTTTTTTCTTAGTGGTACTGTTTACAGATGTTGTCTTATAGCTCATCATTGGGTTGAAACAATCTTACTAAATTAGCTTCTGATCAACTAATCAACTTGATACATAATACATAAAAAAAACATGCAATTTGCTTGGGAAAATTACCCACTCAGAGCATTAGTTAACATTACCTGATTCAAACTGATCTGTAACAAAAAGATTATAAAGCGTGAAATATAATACACACAGTGAAGCTTGTGTGATAGAATTATTGAAGCTGGAACTCTGATATGTCAAATGCACACAACGTGTAATAAATGAAGTGTATCACAACTCTGTAATCAATTGAATGATTTTAAAATATTGGAGAAAGGATTTTAGGTGGATACATATTTATTTTGATTCACGTGGTAACTAAATGCAAGTTGAGAAATCAAATTGAAAAATTTATCACATACTTACAGCAGACTTCAACATATGTTTTCTATTATTAAAGTAAATTTGTGTCCTTTTTCATAAAAGGAAAAGGACCATCCTCAGAGAAACCAAAAGCGGCCCTGGTCCGCTAGAGAAATTGCAGCAGTGATGAAACACTTTCAGAAGCAAATTGACACTGGGAAGCTGGCAAGTTTTATTGAAATTCAGCAGTGTCAAAAGGCAGAACATCCTGTTTTAAAAAATCGTTCCCTGCAAAACATAAGAGACTTTGTTAGAAATCGTGGGGTGTCAAAAAAAAAAGGAAAAAAGAACAAGCTAAAAATGTAAGATAAATCTTGAGCTAAGATGCACAAAATTTTACTTTAAAGTGTGTTTTTCTTTTATTTAAAAAAAACCCAGAAGTTCAGCTCTTAGGGTGGTATAAATGGCTAATTTTATTATGTGCTGTGGAAAAAGTGTTCTGTTTTTAGGCTTCAGCATTGTTTTTTGCAGTAGTTTTTGATATGCCCTGAGTTTCTAAATAAGTCCAAGATTAATATTGAGATAAGAGTCTTAACAGAACCTAATCATTTGCAAAGAAATTCAGTTTGGTTTTCAGGTTGTTGATAAATGCAAAACTTTTATTAGAAGCTAACTGTTTGATGTTTGCTTCAAGGTAGAACATTGTTTTTTTTTTCTTTTTTTTTTATTCACTTCACCTTTTTTTTAATTCACTTCACCTTTTGAAAAGAGGTACCAATTTTGATTGGTCCAAAATAAAAATTGCAAAAGATAATGTTGTGTTGTTTGTTTATTCCATAACACATTATAATTTGTATAGGTCTAAACATGACCCCAATTAGTTTTAGAACTGCACTATACTGCTGATGACATCTTATTTGACTGTTATTTGTTGTTTCATATTTAGAAAGAGATTTTTGTAGTTTCTGTCTGCGTTCATGACAAATTAACATTACCATGATTGCAGGGTTTGAATTAAGCTATTTTCTGCTCATTAGGGCACTCTAATTTGTTTTCGGGACATTCTTTGAAGTCTTATATTAAGTGTCCCTGCAGTTCTTATTGGTACTTATAATGTATTTTTATGTCAGGGGTGTGGCTTATCTATCTAATTATCTATGTCCTAATAATATTGCATAAAATCAGGTCATTATATCTAGGGTTGTGTAGTGTGTAAACACAATTTTAAGTGGGATCTGTGTTGAGTGGCTCATTAAAGATTTTTTGACACATTCAGTTGATCTGTAGAGCAAGTGGAAAGGGGTGCCCCTGTAGTTCACCACTATAACTGGTTTGAAAAAATTACCCTGAACACTCTGGGCAGATAGAACGGTCTGCAGTAAACAGTCAGAAACTCGATGTATGGAGAGCAGAAGCTGGTGATGGATCTAGCGCTCTTGCACCAGCTGTTGTTGATGCAAACACAGAGCCCACCACCCCAAGTCTTATTGCTTAGTTCTTTGTTTTTATAGGCGCGGTATAGCATTAGTCCCTCCAGGCTAATAGTATTGCTGGATGCAGCCAAGACTCCGTCAAAGTGATGGTGCAGCAGTTACAAATCTCCTTCTTTGAAGAGTCGGAGATTATCCATTATCTTTTCTAACATGCGGACATTGGAGAGCTTGGTTGATGGAGGCGGCAGTCGTGGGGATTTTTCCTAAGCTTCGCAATTAGACCCCCTCTGCAGCCTCGCTTTTTCTGTCTCGCGCATCTCTTCCTCCGGCCGTTATGTTCCGTTGTTGTTTTATTTACATTTGTCCATAGCACTCTGCAAACGGTCATTAATTACTCTATTTAAAACATTTTGTGACCGCAGCTCCAGCAGGCATTTGTGATCATAGATGTGGGTTTGATGTCTGGTTTGTATCGCCGCCATGGTAACAATTGGTTAAAATGGTAAACAATTTATAGTTGATTATTTTGTGACACAGTTATTTTGTAAAGCAATTTTTTGCATTGAGAAACTAACTTTTTAACTCAGTTTTTAATTTTAAGCTTCTTTTATTTCATGTTTGTTTCATGTTCACTGGAAATAGTTCAGAGTTCAGGAGAAGAGCCAAACATTTTAGGTTTATTAGCAGTTTTCCAAAGCTAACAGTGATCTTTTTTCCACTTTGTGCTCATCCATTATCTAACTCTGTCTCCTCAACTTTTTTAAAGTTTAAAGAGTATTTGGAAATTGCTTAGGAACAGGTCTAGTTTTGACAAACCTTTTTTTTTCTCATTGTAATAAATCATTTTTACTCAAAATACTTTGTCTCTGTTGAGTTTGATTTTACCTGGTGATTATAATAATAAAGGTTAAGATAAGTTTAATAATAAGTGTTTAGTAGTCATTTTGAGTAAGTTCATGCTGCTGACTACATAGATGCAAATCAGTAAATGACATGTAAATAAAAAAATAACATTTTTTATCATTTTTCCTGCTCATGGATCCATCGTCATGATCTCTTCAGATTAGATAAAGCTATGACATCCATTACATATTTAAGGAATAATGGAAGGACTGAATTTTAAAAAGCTAAAACTTTTAACTGTATTATTATCAGTTAGCTGGGGAAAAAGATCTCAAGCTGTTAGTTTTAGAATGTTGGAAATGTTTTATGTTCTTAGCAGACAACAATTCTTCACTAACAGCAGCTGCAGTTACATAACAGATTTAATGTGGTGAAACACTTTTACCTACATAATAAAGCTTTTTCTATGGTCAAAAATATAATTTTCAGCTCATTATTTTAAAAGGCCTTAACCCTGACACTTGTCCCTGAACTTATTTTATATAGCCTATCTAACAACTGTACAATGCACATTTCTTGTTACTATCCTTCATAAATTAAAAAATAATCATTAATATGTGAAACACTACAAATTACAGAAACCTTTGGAAAAATGTTGTGTTTCGTTTTAGACATCATACTCTGTCCTAGCCTTCTTGGCAAGGGACTGCACTTGTTCTTCTGTGACTGTTCTCGGATATCAATCATTTATAGGTGTTAAATAAATCAAACTATTGTTTATTTTAATGTATACCAACTGATTACAAAATGTTACTTTCCATTATATGCTATTTTAACATGATAACCATCAAGAAAGATGTTTCAAATTCTCTTTATGACATTGGTTTAGTGCATGGTTTTTACAGCATGTTAATATCACAGGAGTTGCGCTGCAAAATCCGAAGTGTTAGAATGACCTTCACAGATTTTCTAAACCAGGAGTAGAAAAAGGCATAAACAATAGGGTTTAGACAGGAGTTAAAGTAGAACAAATATATCACAAAAGCAGAGGATGAGGCATTAAGTAAAGTATCTTGACCTGTAAGTGTGACACAGAAATATGGTAACACACATATCAGGAACACAACAACTACAACCCCGAGGGACCCGGCTACTTTAATCTCAGATTTCTTAACATTAACAGAACCATGGAGGGTTAATCCTGCAGTGTGAGAGTGTATAGCTCGAATCTGAGAAACTGCCACCACAAATATTCTGAAATACAAAACTACTATTATAGTGATGGGGACTACAAAGGACAAAATAAGATCAGCCATACCAGCAATGTAATTAATGACAATGACACATTCACCTAAGCAGGAGTTATACATGCCTGGTTGTTTGAAGTTCTCCATCAGATTTAAGCTCTGAAAGAGTGTAGGCCAGGTCCAACACAGGGAAACACAGATCTTCACCTTTTTTTGTGTTATTTTAGTGTTGTAATGAAGGGGGTGACATATGGCTACAAAGCGGTCAATAGATATCATCACCATGGTTGCCACTGAAGCTGTGGTAATAATATAAGCTAAGTACTGATATATGACACAAGCAATGTCACCCAGGAACCAGCAGCCATTTATGAGAACAATTTGAAAGAACATGAGGAGACCAATAAGGAAATCTGAGACAGCCAGAGAAAGAAGGAGCAGGTTAGTGGGAGAGTGGAGCTGCCTGTGGAGAAAAACAAAACAACATTTATTATTTCAAGAGTGTGTTATGCAATATCATTCATATAAAAAGCAGATTTGCTGTACAACAAAACCCCAAAACAAAGCAGTTGTAATCACTATTCTCAAATATGCAAACTCTTTGAAACCTGAAGTGTGAGATAGAGATGATGACCAGCAGATTTAGAGATGATGTGAGCAGAGAGATGGAAGATAGCAGAATGTAGATTATCATAGTTTCATAGTAAGTACGTTTGGGTCTGCTGCAGGAGGTGTTAAATAACTGTGGAAAGCAGAGCTCGGTTTCCTCCATTATCATGAAGCAGAAGCAGCTTCTAGACACTAATGAGGCTCTATTGGCTGTTTCAGTTGACTCTTCTCCCTTCTCTCCACCTACTATTTCTCTCCCCATGGTAACCTTATATAGGGTTATTTTGTTTATTGGGATTTTAACTTCTTAATGCTTCTTTTGCTTGTACAAAATAACAACAACAAAGAAATGAAGATTTACCTGAATATCTTTGATAATGTTTAAAATTTCTCAAGTCGATATAACACCATATAGGGCAATTTATTAAAGTGCTAAGTCATTTAAAAAATTTTTCACATTCTTTTTTTTCTTTTAACCTGTAAGTGATCCGAGGCTATGTTATCGGGAGGTTAAATGTCTCTGGTTGGGTATCCCAAGGCAAACTGGCCATGAGATGATGGTCAGACAGAGCGATTCAAAAGTTGTTGCCAGCGTTACGATTCTTCTTACTGATGTGTGAGTCTGTTAAACTTTAATAATACCAGCCTGTTGCGTGTCACAACTAATGTTTTCCCAAATAGTTTATCTAATTAGGACAATTCTTCTGTCAGGATAAAAAGTCATCTTCCTTATGTATGTGGCAAAGATTTGGGAACGAAATGAGAAGAGAGTCGTTGATCTAAAAACATAGTGGAGTATTTTGATAAGGCTGGAGATGTGGATGTCTCCTCATTTACAAACTTGTATGACATAAAGATGTTATTATATGGCATACTGGAGTTTTATAAAATGCTTGTTTAACAGTGAATCGGGGCCACTTCAACAAGATGTGAGCTCGGTTGGTAAGCGCTGTCTTCTGTAACTCTCAGCAACTTCTCTGGACTGAGTAAGATAATTTCTGTCAAAATCTGTTGTCATGTCTGATGATTATTCAATACATATACGTACATTTTGAAGTGTTTAAAGAGTTTGTCCCGAGTGATTTTGTCATGTTTGGCTTTAGGTGGCTAACCCACATGCAGAACACTCAGAGGCAGGAGAAAAGTTCAAAGATTTATTGTAATGTTTAAGGACAATGAATGAACAGATCCAGAGGGTAGTTTGCCT